ACATACGAGATACCGGGAGAGATGGGTATGCGCCTCCCCACCAGAGGCACTGTGAGGAAGTAGGGGTGAAAATAAGAGCGATAATGGGAAATCAGAAGTAATGCGACTTTGGAATTATCGAGAAAACCCTGACGCCGACAGACCCACCCCAGTTTGTTGCGGCGTCAATAAAAAACAGGACCCCAGTCGACAGAAATGAGTTCAGCCCCGGACGGCGGCGAGAAGGGCCCACCTCAGACGGCAGAGAGTAAGGTTGCAGGCCAGACGGGCAGTAAAGTTGCAGGCCAAACAGAGAGCCCAGTTCAGCCCCGGACGACAGAGAGCTCAGATCACCTCAGACGGCAGAGAGAAGAGTTGCAGGACGGAAGAAGAAGAAGTTACTTGCTTATGCATAGATGAAGTTGAAATCAAACCACGCCCAAGAACAGAACTTCGTCTCAAACCAAATCGAAGTGAAGAAATACGTCCAACTCAAGCCGAAGAGAAGAATCAGCCGTGAACGACTGGTAGAGATTAGCGCCCAGTGTCAAAACTAAACCACACCGACACACAAAATTCTAGAGAGTAGGCAACTCGAAGTCTTTTAAGTTGTATGATAGAAGCTTGGTGCCACAGTCCACAAAGCGGGTCGGGAAGTAAGAATAATTTTTATGTAACGAACATTAGATATAAAAGGTTGTTACCCTTTTTTATCAGTATTTTGGTCTCGTGAGTTTTTTCTTTTACTTGTGTTTTGCCACCCCATCGACTCAGCTTGCATACGGCCCCAATCCCTGTTTGATCCCATCTGTCTAAGATCTAATCACAACGTGGGTAGGCAGACCGGAGATCAGTGCAGTTACCCTAGTAACCAGGTGATTGGAAGCGAGTTGGGAAAGGCGAGGCTGGTAATCATCTAACCAAGGGGTTGGAACGTCACACTTGGAACAGCGAGGAGCGTCCAGGAGGAGCGACGTCACAGTTGGCGCCGTGACCAAAGGATTCGACCCTGGACCAAGTGCCGTCACATATATACATATCTATTGCGATAAAATGGTTACGAATCAGTTTACATTATTTTTTATGTTGTCATTATTCTTAATGTTAATTTTAATTATTTGTAAAATATTTCGATTTTCTAAGAAAATCAGGATACTTTGAAATCATTAATCTCTCTCTCTGTATATATATATAAATCTCTCTTTCACTATCTGTCTCTCTCTGTCTCTGTCTCTCTCTCTCTCTCTCTCTCTCTCTCCTCCCCTCTCTCTCTCTCTCTGTCTCTAAAAAAGAGACAAAACGAAATACAGTGTAACCCGGATATAAGAGAGTTGTCAGGACCGGAGAAGTCTCTTATATCCGGGTTTCTCTTATATCCGGGTTTGGTCTAATTTATATACATTAACACAGGCTCTAATTTTGGACCAGAGAAAATCTCTCTTATATCCGGGTTTCTTTTATATCCGGGTCTCTTATATCCGGGTTCCACTGTATAGATAATAGAGAGATTAATTACAATAAGCGTGTATGAGTTACTGTATCTATATATAAATACATACACTTTTATATATATATATATATATATATATATATATCATTCAGCGTTAATCCTAGACATTCCGCTGGTCTACAGATGAAACGACCTGCCGCGGGGAGACTGGTTGTCTAACGAAAGAATAAACTAACAAATCCTACCTCGGCTAAAAATAGATCGTCTCTAGGAAGGAAAAAAAAAAAAAAAAAGAAAAGGCGAACCGAAAGACCACGTGACCTCGAACACACTCAGGGTTTTTCTTATCCGATTAAATCACCTGAAAGCTGTACACCTCCCCACGTCATCTTTTTACAATATCGACAGGTTAGCGATTTAATAAGCCTATTTTTGCTTGACCAAAGATTAATGAGTACAAAGTGTCACATGATTTGCCCGAAAAAAAAAATGAATATATTGTCGAAATTATTTTTCTTTAATCCATTCAATGCTAATGATAAAAATACTTGGAATAATGTAAATAGAGATGTAACCAATTTATAGCAACTCTACACACCATTTGGGAGTACGCTTATTTATATTACTTCGAACACATAGATAGATAGATAGATAGATTGATAGATAGATAGATAGATAGATGTTAATATACTGAGATAGATAGATATGAACAAAATGAGATAGATAGATATTAATATACTGAGATAGATAGATATTAGATAGATAGATAGATAGATAGATAGATAGATAGATAGATATGAATAAACTGAGATAGATAGATAGATAGATAGATAGATAGATAGATAGATATGAATAAACATAGATAGATAGATAGATAGATATGATAAACATAGATAGATAGATAGATAGATAGATAGATAGATAGATAGATAGATAGATATGAATAAACTGAGATAGATAGATAGATAGATATGAATAAACATAGATAGATAGATAGATAGATAGATAGATAGATAGATAGATAGATAGATATGAATAAACTAAGAAAAAGTGAAAAAAATAATCGTGTAA